GAGTGAAACGCTGAAAAAAAGAGAAGCCCGGCAAAACACAGGAGCAAAATTGTTTTAGCAACCTGAATCATGAACAAACTGCCATGATTAGATTCGCCTTTTGGATTATTATGAACTGGGAATGACAAAATGACTCTAACAGAGCTTACATGTGCTGGTAAGGATTAGAGACCCAGTTGAGAAGTTTGTGCTGACTGTGGGCTATATTGCGTGTGTTTTTGAGCCGTTGACTTGTGTTGATTGTTGATTATAAAATGCATGGCGCTGTGCGCTGCCGAGTGGCGCTTCCGGTGCGCGACCTGCTTTACGGTTTTGTTGCAGCACCGAAGTTATGCACAGAAATTCATACGCTGATTTGATCCGGTGCATACCGGTTCCAAAGATACTATGGCACCGAGTTTTGGTACCCAACCCTACATAGCGCGCACCTGCCTTGCCCAGGCTTGGGCACTTCTACCTGGGGCAGCGTTTGATGCCTCTGGACCCTGGATCCCTGCCTGCACCAGGGTCATAGCGCACACCTGCCTTGCCCGGGCTCGGGCACTCCTACCTGGGGCAGCGTTTATGCCTCTGGACCCTGAATCCCCGCCTGCACCAGGGTCATATCGCACACCTGCCTCGCCCGGGCTCTCCTACCTGGGGGAGCGTTTAATGCCTCTGGACCCTGGATCCCCGCCTGCACCAGGGTCATATCGCACACCTGCCTCGCCCGGGCTCTCCTACCTGGGGGAGCGTTTAATGCCTCTGGACCCTGGATCTCCGCCTGCACCAGGGTCATAGTGTGGACCTGCCTTGCCCGGGCTCGGGCACTCCTACCTGGGGCAGTGTTTGATGCCTCTGGACCCTGGATCCCCACCTGCACCAGGGTCATAGCGCACACCAGCCTTGCCCGGGCTTGGCTCTGGGGGCTGCTAGCCTGCCCTTAGACCCCTGGTTTGTTCAACCGCAAAAGCCAAAAATAAACAAAGTCCCTTTTTCTTTGCCTTCGCGGAAATCACGACGGCAGGTTGGCTTCGGGCACGCACCTCCAGGCGCTGGACGTCCCGACAGGTAAGCCAGGAAAGGTGGTCTCTCTTCGGGCATGGCTTAGTGGGTTTGGGCCTGGGTTTAATCAACACCCCCCGGTGAGTGCATCCAAGCGTTTGCCAGCGATCGTTCCAAAGACCGAATGTATTTCTACTGGCCCTTAGTTCGAGAGAAAGACCCCCCCCACCCCCCCTTAAACTGACTTTGTCGTTCTAGAGACCAACCATCCCCCAAATGAGTGTTTGTTCTGTTCCATACAGCAAAAAAATACATTTCGCATACCAAATCAAATTTTTTACTTTCTTTCTAAAGTTTCTTGTTTACTTCAGTATATCAAGTACATGCCGCTTGTTTGAGTCGCAACATACAAGAGAGATGAGCCAACAAAATAGCCTGAATGCAAATTATTTATTATAGAATATAACTCATAGAACAATTAATAAAAGCAACCAACAAATGTCTAGGGATAATAATGAAGATAAAGAACTTAGGATATAATCACAACAACACGTTACCTACATGATATAAGTAATGCAAAACAATACCTTAAAGTTAAAGAGTCAATGAAATGGCATGATGGTCTTGACATAAAGACTCCTGAGTAGCCACAGCGTCCTGGGGTAGCTAGCACAACAACTTTTATTTACCCATTGATGAGTAATGCAGGCATCCAATCAGGATTTACCTGGGATTTACTTTGGGATTATCAGTGTATTAATATTGTAACACTTAATACCTGTTGCTCTGCCTAAATCATAAAATATTCATCAAGTTTGTATTCTACTCAAAAAAGTAAATGTAGTAAACTAAAAAGAATCTTGAACCTAAAAGTAAAGAAAATTTACTAATAAAAGCTGCAACACAGGACAATTAAATTGGCTTTCTAAGCTTGAGGCCCTGGTATATGCAAACTAACCGTCCTGGAGCTCCACCTTGTTTGATGTGCGGTGTCTTCCCAGTGATTTGTTTCTCATTCAGGAAGTCAGACAGAGAACATCATCCAAAACAACACTAGCTACATGAATACACTGGAGAGTGGAGTACAAATGTATCCGCACCTGTACAATCACTTGCAATGAGATTTTAAGCCGCTGAGATGCTGTTTGCCAGATGTTTATAAAACTGTTCTTCTCTCAGCCGCCAGCATTGTGTTTACGGTAAACGTGAGGAGCGCAACACATTTACAACCCCACCTACTGCAGTGTAGGAGTGTTGGAAAACAGTATATCGTCACTCAGCCTTTTCAAACATTATTCAGACATGTAAAATCCTGTGCACATGAGAAAATGTTTTGCTGCATTCATGTCTTCTGTGCAACTTTTTGTCCATGTGTTTGTTAAACTGCGCCAAATGAGTGAAACTCTGCAGACACTGATCAGATCTGTAGAGTTTCTCTCCAGTGTGAATCCTCTTCTGTTTTCAGATGTGATAACTGATTAAACCTCTTGTCACATTGTGAACACTTGTACACTCCAGTGTGAATCGTCTGGTGCAGTTTCAATTTTTGGAGCAGTAATAATAGTCTTCTCACACTTAAAGCACATATACTCTTTCACACCAGTGTGAATCTTCATGTATTCATTAAAGTTTGCTGATCTGTTGAAACTCTTCCCACACTGAGTGCATATGAATAGTTTCTCCGAAGCTGCGATCACACTAGAGTTTGAGCATGCAAAATTCTGTTGTTTGGTGCTGCGAAAAGGGGCGGGATTAAACAAGATGTAACAGTCAGTAGATAAAATTACGTATCGATTTTATAAAAGGGTCTAAGTCTCCTCTGTGTGGGTTTATGACTCTTGGTGCCACAAAGTCTGAGCCTGTGTGACACCACTTATCTAGAGGTAAGCCAGAGATGGTTGCCAAAACTTCAAAAGACATTCCTGCCCCCCTTCCTCCCGAGACACATAGGAACACACACACAAGGCTCCCGATGCTGAAAGGGACTCAGAAATCCTGAATCAGCCCAAAAGTAAATTTTATGTGTTTGTAAACTTTGTATTTCTTTTCTGACTTTTCTAACATGTAAATATCTCTCTCGTGCCCTTTTTAAGACACTATACCAGCTAAGAATGTGGGAATCATGTTGATTTCTTAAAACTGTAGTGTTTCATACCATTAGGTTTCTCCTGCCATTTTACAACACATGATGCGTAGCACATGATCATAATCTATATGGCTTAAATTATTTAATGCTCCGAGTTAATGTCTCTTAGAATGTTTTAGTGCGGACCCTTATTTTGCATATTAGCGGTTCAGAGACAAAAAAAATCTCCCTCTCAAACTTTGCTAGAACACCATTGGTCAGTCAGTAGAAAAAGGGGTGTGACATGCCACCACAGTTTAAAAACCAGCCGTGTGCACAACTCTGCACAGAATGATCTGGAAAAACTCTCTTAGAGGCTGCCCCCTTTTGAGGGGGCAAACCGCATTTTCTTTAGCCGCGTGGCTCGTCCGAGCCCACGTTTTCTTATTTTTCCTGGCAAAGTAAAACTCAGTTTAAAGTTGCGATCGCGTATCCTCCGACCTGCATCGCAAACTGTGCATCTAGAAAGGACACTAAAGGACATCTAACACATCAGAGAGAATACTCGCAAAAAGAGAGAAAAACCATCTTTCTAAAGGTAATTATGTTATGCATAAAAGCTGTGCCCCTTATCAAAAAGGTGTTTTCTTTGCAATCTTAATGGTCCTGAATAGTTGTGTGGAACTGAGGTAGATTTGCCATTCTTTTATCTAAACTCTCTATTTCCTTGCTTTTCTGTTTCTTTCTGTTTGTTATAGGTTTTATAGATCCCTATATAGCCTATCTATATTCAGTTTACGTTTGTTCTATGTTTGATGATATGTTTGTGCGTTTGTTCGTTACATGTCAGACTAGTCAATAAATCCCATTATAATCAAATGGATTGTATTGTTTGCCTCACAGAAAAAGTCACTAAAGCGATTGATTCCTTTGCTACAAGCTGTTATTAAGTTCATCAAACTCATAAATGATTAATCTACTTCACAAGGAGTAGTAATAATTTGCTTTCTAAACAAACAGATCATCACAGAGTCCACTCGGACGAGCAGGCGAGGTCTGGTAATATTTATAACAATACTAATAATAATAATAGTTTGTTATTGATAATTAATATTCATAATCTAAGTGTCTGCTCGAACAAGCAGGCGGAATCATGTTATATATCTGTTTTGTAAAATTGACAGTAGTTTAAACCGCAATATTAATATTTAATAATAACTTGTTATTCATGATCATTAATATTCAGAAACTTAGCTAATTTCGCTACAAAGATGATTATATATTTAAAAAAGTGAGCGATTGGTCCATGTTTTAAATTTCTGTCCAGAGAGGTCATGTTTTGATATTTGATTGGTCTCACACAGTCAAGTATGCGATTTCGCAGGTAAGAGTTCACCAAGATTAAACTTTGTAAGGCAGTGAACTACGAAACTTGACGCAAGAACGTTTGAGGTTACAGAAGTAACCCTTTGTTCCCCGAGTAGGGTAACGGAAGTGCTATACAGTGGATTTGATCTTGGGGGGGGGATAAGCATTTGGGATCGCCTAGTGGGGATCACGCATAGCAGACACCTATACCCAAAACGCAGGCTGACCAGCGGGCAGACCAACAACGTAGTGGGCCAGCAAGTGACTCGCTCCAGGTGTGCTTATATGCTGGGATAATTGGCAATGAGGCACACCTGCACAAGCTTACGCTGCCAATTCTTTGCTTCATTGGCCCATTCAATACTCTTTCAGACAAACAGCTTCTGAATTGAATCCTCCCATACGTGGATTTTCCAAGATCAAATCCACTGTATAGTACTGAAGTTCCCCAACCGAAGGAGAACTTGTGTTTCCGGTCTGACGCATTTGCATGTGTATGAATGGAAGTCTATGGGGGAAAAAAATCAAGTGTGACCATGGCTTAAGTGCAAGTTAATGGCTTTTCTCCATTGTGGCTCAACACGTGTTTATTAAGGTGTGCTGATTGGCTGAAACTCTTCCCACACTGAGTGCAAGTGAATGGTTTCTCTCCAGTGTGGATCCTCATGTGTAAATTAAGGGATGATGATTGGCTGAAACTCTTTCCACACTGAGTGCATGTAAATGGTTTCTCTCCAGTGTGGATCCTCATGTGTGAATTGAGGTTTGATGAATGGCTGAAACTCTTCCCACACTGAGTGCATGTGAATGGTTTCTCTCCAGTGTGGATCCTCATGTGTAGATTAAAGTGTGATGGTATGCTAAAACTCTTTCCACACTGGTGGCATGTAAATGGTTTCTCTCCACTGTGGATCTTCATGTGTTTATTAAAGTTTGATGATTGGCTAAACCTCTTCCCACACTGAGTGCATGTGAATGGTTTCTCCCCAGTGTGAATCATCATGTGTAGATTAAGGGATGATGATTGGTTGAAACTCCTCCCACACTGAGTGCATGTGAATGGTTTCTCTCCAGTGTGGATCCTCATGTGAATTTTAAGAGTGTTTTGTATTCCAAAACTCTTCCCACACTGAGTGCATGTGAATGGTTTCTCTCCAGTGTGGCTTTTCATGTGATTATTAAGGTTTGATGATTGGTGGTAACTCCTCCCACACTGAGTACATGTGAATGGTTTCTCTCCCGTGTGGATCCTCATCTGAATTTTAAGACTGCTTTGTATTCCAAAACTCTTTCCACACTGAGGGCATGTGAATGGTTTCTCTCCAGTGTGGATCTTCATGTGATTATTAAGGTTTGATGATTGGATGAAACTCTTCCCACACTGAGTGCAAGTGTATGGTTTCTCTCCAGTGTGGATCTTTATGTGATTATTAAAGTTTGATGATTGGATGAAACTCTTACCACACTGAGTGCATGTGAATGGTTTCTCTCCAGTGTGGATCCTCATGTGAATCTTAAGTTTGCTTTTGCTTGCCAAACTCTTTCCACACTGAGTGCAGGTGAAACGATTCTTGTCTCTCCTCTTTAAAGTACCATCAGTCTGTAAATGACTTTGGTCCTCAATTTTGACATGATGTTCCTCCTCTTTACTCCCCTCATACTCTTCAATTAGGTCTGAAATTAAAAAAAAAATCATTAGTTTTTATTGAGTCTTAAAAACTCTCATTGAAAGCTGAAAAGTGAGAAGACACTCATTGGGTACACACACTAGTTTTGATGCACATTAAATGTAAAATAAATCAGATATTTTGTTTGGTCCATTAACTTGTACACATTTAAGCAGATTCCATTAAATTAATTTTTATTTATCTAGTGCTTTTACAATGAAAATTGTGTCAAAGCCGCTTAACATAGAACTTATAGTAAATAGGCTCTATGCACAAACTCTGCTGACGTGTTTCCGGTAGAATATCAGTCAGGCTGTTTACTTCCGCATAGCGAAATCTGATATCGTTGATTTAATTCTACAGCGAAATCTAATAGCAGAGAAACCTAAACGCATCAGAGCATTGCAAAGAAGGGCGATTTACTCTTTAACTGGTGAGGCCATGTGCCAGTGGATGTCCAGCATCTAGAACATCATTACTGTTAAGTTCCAGAAGCCACGGTAGTTGATTTTATACACCATATTAGGCAGACAATCTCTGTGAAGAGGTGGAGTGACTGAAAGGAGACTGCTTTGATGCTGCTTTTGGTGATAATATAACGTTCTAAAGGTACAGTTAAAAAATTATGTACAAGAATAAAACCCAGATGAAAGAAGTAACAAGTTGTAATTGTATTTTATATTAAATAATATTACATTTAATATTATATAATATTACATTAACCATACTATAGTAAGTTTTATTATACTGTATATACTGTATACATGCATGCATACACACACACACCAAACATTCTAGTGTCATGTAAGAGGCAAATACCAAACTAAAACAAATGTGTTAAGCACAAATACTTACATGCAAAACCTATTGCATTTCTATCTAATTTATACATCTACATCCTACAACATACAGAGTAATGTGTCCAGAGTAAATGCGACTGTGAGGGAGATGCCATCCATCACAAGGCTTAGGGTCTACACTGAGCATCTCATCTGCCGGGTGAAGCAACAAGCTGGACAGTCATCATCTCTTTCTATTACAGCAAGCATCAACCTGATTTACACAATGGCTTGCCTTCTGCCCATCAGTAATATTTTGGGATTTTCCGCCTGGATTTTGCCTACCCAAATTTAAAAGCTTGCCAAATCCACATGCAGAGGTGTAAATGAAAAAAATTGGTATAACTTTAAAGGGTCACGAAACACCAAAACACATTTTTTGAGCTGTTGACAGTTGTATATGTGTCCCACACTGCTAAAAACACTATTAAGACACCTATATTTCACTAAAAAGTGTAAATTGGTTGTTTTTGCGTTATTTCAAGCAAATTCGTACTTCCGGTTTGAAACGAATTTTTGAAGCTGCGTCACGGTCATGACATAATAGCCTGTATTCCAGCGTGCAGACTGGACGTCTGTGCCAGAGTGAGTCTTGTTACGTCTTACAGTGTGCTGCATTAATGGATGAGTAAGGCTTGGTTCAAACCAATCAGCGCGCTCTATTGTGCCACTTCATTAACATTCATTACTGTCAGAGTGTAGACGGCAGAGACGCCACGTTTTATTGGAAAAACAAGCATGAAGTGTTGCTTTTATAGTTTGCTGCAGTTAAGTTTTGTTTTCATTTTCTCTCTGTGAGAGCGCAGCTGGCGTCACGTGTGGATTAACAGTGTACGCGACGCGCGACAACAATAACTTACGTGTCTAAGGAGGAACTTTGTTTACCTGAGAGCTGTTCTCATCTGCAAACGCTGAGATCTGGATTCGCTTGTTTTCTTCTCTTAATAAAGATCTGGTTGCTGTGGATTGTCCTGTCTCTACAGATTTGGTAAGTGAGCGACCAGTGCTCTTTATTTATTCAGTTCGTATTTTATTCGTATCAAACAAACTATTGCACCAAGTGTAAACAAGTTAGCACTAACAGTTACAATTAAACTATAACCTCGTGTTGAATTTTGTGACTGGAATAACACACGCGACTTTCTGACACTACCTGCCGAGTGCATCTAAGTTTCCGGGAAATGCTAAGTTTTTTTTTTCTCTCATTCGCCGTGCGGTATCAAACATTGCATGAAAAATACACGCTTAGAGCAGTTCCTTGAATCAAATATCACGTTTGTTGCGAGGGGCATGAATGAATTCCCTGAATGAAAGAGCCAAACTGCAGTTAAAGTCCACTATTTAATAATTTGGCAAATAATTCGACTACAGATGTCCATGTAACTTTGTCCGCTGTGGTTGTGTGTTTTGACTCTGAAATTCAGCGCGCCCAAATAGACACTCCCACACCAAGCCTCTTTTCTTCCTCCGACACTCCCCCCTAAACAGAGCTGGACACGCCCACTTTTCTGACTTTTTCCAAAGTAGAGGTGTGAAAACACCCTGCTGAAACGAGGGGGTTTCATGGCCCTTTAAAACCCTTTGCATTTTCACAAAACACTATTGAGAGCATTTAAAATACCTGTATATGTTGTCTGTGTTATAATAAACAGCTAAAAAAAGAGGCACTTTTGTATTTATTTATTTTTGATTAACTCAAATTTTAAAGTGTACCTTTTAGGTTCTGTGTGGTCTAGCGTGTTGTAATTAATTTTGGTGGTTCCTGCACATGTCTGTAATCATAGTAAAAAAGAAAAATGTCTCTACCATTATCTATGCAAAAGTTATTGTATTCCAACTGTTGAGAGGTGCTGTACAAGCCACAGGGATCGATCATTGCTTACATATTTCACTATTCTTTTGTTTGATCAAACATAATTTACTATGTTTGGACCACATCAGACATATAAAAGGATTACTTATGCACATCACCTCAAAAACAGAGGAGAATGGCCCTGAAGCACACAGCATAAGGTAAGAGATGACAGCTGTCTGTGCTATCTGGGGCTGCTTATTGATCATGAATGTATTGTTTTCAATTCTGCGCTATGGAAACACCATGGTTCATCCGGCAACTGTTTGATATGGGAATATAATTCACTTTCATTTGAGCTATAACTTGTACATGTGTCATATGAAAAATATGAAAATGGGCTGTGGGGTCCCCGGTCCCCTTATTATGGTGGGCACATCCCTTATTATGGTGGGCATATCCCTTATTTTCACATCCCAATGTTGACAGGTATACCCTACATAGTAAAGCTGAACTGTAGTAGGTATTGTTGTTCCAAAGACATCTACTTTAGTTCCTAGTTTATAGGTCTTACTGTTCCCCTAAGACCTCTCAATACTAAAAAATTTGTTCTGAAAGAATCTCCATCTGTACCTATCCAATAGAGTGAAGGAACTATGACATCAATTTGTATGCAAAAACCCGGAAGCGAGTTAGCATTTTAGCACTTCCGGTTCCCTCGTCCCAAAGTCAGTGGGTTTTTTGTATGGGGTTTCAGTAAAATCGCTAAAATAAGGTCCGTGGCTAACACAAACTCACTATACTTTCACGTTTTATTCTATGACATAAAACACATCCGTTACAGCACACTCGTGAATTTTTAAATCGCTTATGCTTCTTCAATAAGGACGGTTGCTATCAAAGTGCTAAATGAGACTACAGGTGGTGTCGAGGACATTATACGTCATTGAAATGATCAGGGGCCTCATGTACGAAGACTTGCGTGGAAATCTTACTAAAACATTGCATAAGCTGTAAATGTGCGTACGCAGAAAAAAATTCAGATGTATGAAACACTGCGTACGCCGAATCTCACGCATATTCTTTTGTACATCCGAATGAACGTGAAACTGAGCGCAACATGCACGAGCACAAAACCCCTTCTGCCTCCTCCCCCGTATGAATATGCTAATGACTATGCTAATGGCAAAACCCAACGAAAAAGCAACGGCAAAATCAAGCAAAAAGAGAAACTTTGAACAGAATGTGAATTGGAGGTGCTGCTTTCGGAGGTAGACCGGAGAAAAGCGGTGTTATTTGCAAGTTTGTTCTCCGGAATTAACAACAAAAGAAAAAAATAGAGTGGGAGAGTTTAGCTGATACGGTTAACACAGTTGGGTCTGAACATCGCACTGAGTGCATTAAAAAAAAGAAATAGTGTGGTTTATATCTGTAAAATGTTGCAGCACTCTGAACAGTCTCAGTGGCGCAATTCGTAAGACGCATGTGATCATGTATTGACACGTTCGAGCATGAACTCGGCTCGAATCCAGTGTCTGAAGTACTCTTTCTTCTTTTTTCCCCCGCTACATATCAGATTTTGCCAACTATTTATCACGAGAAAGACAAGTAGGAATCATCAATAGGTTCATATCAATAAGCATCATATTTTATTAGCAGATTTATTGAATGGAAATGTTACTGATTCACGCATGCAAATTCATCTTCAGATAGTGCCTTTATAGCAATGTGCGTGCAGTAGATAGCTCAGATTACATTGGGAAAACAGGCAACTGCTGCAAATTGTGCTTTAATGTTTAGCTGGTCAACTGTATGGTATGGAAACCTTACATACCTACTAGATGAACCCGTCTCATACAGCTGCCATTGCAAGGCTCAGACACTTTGTAGAGAAGAATTTAACACAACTGCCTCTAGGAGTCGCCAATGGAAATAAAACACACACGCACAAAAAATGTGCGTACGCCAGCCAGAAAGCTGCCGTGAAGCTGCGCACATTCCCACGTTCAGTTCATCGTTAGTAAATCCAAACGTGAGCGATTCTGAGAGTGAAACCTGGTGTATGCAAAGTTTTTGTGCGTACGCAGCGTTGATACATGAGGCCCCTGGTCTGTAGCGCAGCTCGCTTCTGTTGGGCATTTGGATTTGTCTGTTATTTAGGTATTTTCATGAATAGTATTTTATAGTTTGTAGTATTTTTCTAATTGGGAATTCAGATTGTGTGTAGATAATTCCTTCAC